TAAAACTGTTCAGAACAGAGGTCCAACACCCAGACACAAATAAAACTGTTCAGAACAGAGGTCCAACACCCCAACACAAATAAAACTGTTCAGAACAGAAGTCCAACACCTCAAGTCACCAGGGGTCCGAGTCATAAACGGGTTCGAACAACATACAACCGGGGTAACAGCAAATTTCAGATAATGTCGATCAAACTGAGTTATGAGTTAAAAAGTTACGTCTGGTCCTTTGGACCGAAGGACCAGGCTTAAGTGTTTCAGATTTTTCTGCCTGGATTATTGAGCAGCGTCAGAATATTGTTGTGTACCTAGCGTTAGCATGTTAGCTCAACTCACCGGTCCAAACCCTGCTGCGCGACCACCGCGTTCTGTTCCGCCATGGTTGTGGGGAGGAAATACCGACTTTCACTGGGTCTTCTTGGTGGGCAGAAATTAACGACGTTACGAGTGAGACATTAAAATAATCCTGATCATTTGTTGCAGTTGACGTTAAAACGTTAGCATCAGTTAGCTTAGCAGCGACGCACCAGGCCTACGTGTTTACACGGCGCGTCATCAGCAAAAGGGCCAGGAATTTAAACTAAAACCTACTCCCTGTCGCTCATGGCCAACAAATAACATTAGTCTGCGGCCCTTGAGCTACTTAAAAAGAAAATTCGCTTTAAATTTGTTACGGCCTCGTTTCGCCAGACCATTTAACTCCATTAACTAGCCGTCTCTGCGTGATTACGTCATCAAAACAAAACAACGCATTTTTGGACTACAGGGCTTTTTGTCACGTGACATGGGAAATGTAGTTTTATTGGTCCTTTATTAAACTCAGCACATATATTATATAGTATTATATTGTATTGTATTATATTATATTATATTATATTATATTATATTATATTATATTATATTATATTGTATTATATTATATTGTATTATATTATATTGTGTTATATTATATTATATTATATTATATTATATTATATTATATTATATTATATTCTGGAAATAGGTGTTTTTACGTTCTTGTGTTATCCAAGTATTTTAAGTGACTGGTGTAGGTTTGAGCATATTTCACCAGTTTTGTCCTCCCTTCACTGGCTCCCTCTGTATGTCAGAAATTATTTTAAAATTCTCCTGTTGACCTTCAAGTGCCTTAATGGCCTTGCACCTTCATATCTCTCTGGTCTACTTCAACCAGATGTTCGTTCTCGGGGCTGAGATCATCTGACCAGCTGCTTCTGGTTGAAGCTCAGAGGAGATCAGGTTTTTTCGTCGTGGGCTCTAAACTTTGGAACAATCTGCCCCCCAACATTAGACAGGCCACTTCACTCCCTGCTTTTAAATCGCTCCTTAAAACACACCTGTTTTCATTAACGTTGAACACAGTGCGATTTGATTTAGTATTTCATTGTTTCTCATTGTTTTTATTTTTGATGCTTTTAATTACATATTTTTTCATTATTTACTGCCTTGATCTTATTGTTAAGCACTTTGGTAACAGCTGCTGGTTTAAATGTGTTTATAAAAAAATTGACTTGACCATGTATGTAGCCAGGCATACAGGGCGCTGTGGCTGAGTGGTTAGAGCAGTCGTCCTCCAGTGAAGAGTTGGGGGTTCAGATCCACCAGCAGCCACATGCCGAAGTGTCCCTGGGCAAGACATCGAACCCCTCATTGCCTCCGATGTGTGTCCCATCATGTCTGAATGTGATAAAGATCTGATTAGTCTCTTTAGAATGATTTGTTCAACTAGTTTTGTATAGAAGTAGTAGTGCTGTGTGAATGGGTCAATGAGGGTAGTGTAAAGTGCTTTGAGTGTCTTGATAAGATAGAAAGGCGCTATATATGTATATTCCATTTATGTATTATTTTTACTAAATAAAAATAAATATTATATTATGGTGTAAAGTTATGTTGATGTTCCAAATTGTCTTCATTATTTTATTCTAAAAGAAAGTAAAATAAAACATTTTTTGAAGATATGGCCAATCAATCCTTGTGTTTTTATCATGTAGCTAAGTCTTTTGGCAACTAAAATAAAGTTCAAAACTGTGTTCAGCTGTTTTACCTGCTTGTAAAGTTTTTATCCTGGAGCTGAAATCATAAAGACTCTCACTAGTGAAAGTTTTCTTTGTTGTTTTCACAGTTTTTTCTTGTGACCTCATTTATTAAGTCTGCTTTAATGTTTTCACCCTAACTGCTGCGTCAATCAAGCAAACTTCAACTCCCAGAAGCCTTTTCGGCATCTTCCATGCGCCGCAGTCAATCAGCTGTTGAGGTAGCCGCTGACGAGCTCGGTTCGGCTGGCTGGTCCCATCAGAACCCAGAGGAGGCAAACAGAAACATTGTGTCCTCGGAGTCCGGCACAGGTAACTGGTCCTCAGCTTCCTCAGTGTGTGTGCGCGCGTGTGAGCATGGGGACATACATGGATCATGCAGTGGTGGGTTCAGGACACCTTCCTGATGATCAGATGTCACGCGCGCCGCGGTCCCCCGGGCAGCTGAAGGGGCTCAAGCTTTGGGTCTGTGTTCGGGGTTCGGGTTTTGGTTCCGGGCCTCTGGGTCCGGAGGAGGCAGAGCGAGCTGCTGCTTCCGCTCCGGAGGTTAATAATTTTTTATACATTTAAAAATCCATCTTTTTGTTTTTGCGCTAAAAACAAAAATCCAAAAGTTTCCAATTTTTGTTTGTTTGTTTGTTTGTTGTGATGTTTTAGGTGTTGTCTCTGAAATGAGGATTAAATTATTTTAAGATCCAACGTGGAGTTAATTTTTTGTATTTCTGGTTATTTTTAGCCACATGAAGCTTTTACGCATGCGTAAAGGTCCAACAGCGCGCTGGCTTGGGGCGGGCTCTGTTTATTCCTGGAGGAAATTGTAATTTGCTCCTTTTGATTCCTCTAAATAAAATAAAATAAAATAAAATAAACTACCAGATGTTCGTGTTAGGATGAATAAGAGGAACGGCAGATCCGGTCCAGCTGCGCCAGGTTCTGCTGCAGCCGACAAAAGACAGAAACCGGACAAGTTGCGCATTTCTCCTGTTAGATCTCTGAAGTCCCTGCAGAGACCGCCCAGGTCAAGGTGTCCCCCCACCTTGCTGAAGGGCAGCTGTGTTTACCGACTGTGGACCTGGATCCAGGGGAGGTCCTTGGAGAGAGGAAAGCAGAACCAGTTTCACTCCGGAGCTACGTGGCGGAAAAATTCTGAATTTAAACTTCTTGTTCCGATCAGAACCTGCAGACTCGGATCAGAACCTGCAGGACTCGGATCAGAACCTGCAGGACTCGGATCAGAACCTGCAGGACTCGGACTTCAGTTTTATTTTTTGCTCTTTCTGGTCTTTAAATGGCGGATGACGTCACAGCTGTCCTTTAACCAGATCCGTGTCGGAGATAATACTGCTGCTGATGTACATCTACTCAGTACTTTGGTGTACAAATACACACTCGGGCGAATAGTTCTGAAATCTCCATTAAAATCCGTCCAGTAGTTCATGCGATATTTTGCTAACAGACTAGGGTTGACTCGAGAAGTTCAAACTTTGGGCTGATCTCTAGCTCGGATTATCAGCTGGGGGTCAGTCTCAGCTACTACCACATCGAAGTTTGGGTAAATATCTGTAAAATTAACTGAGTTGTATCAGCTTTTGTGTTGTCACCATCTTGAATTGGTTTGGCTTCAAAAAGTTTAATTCAAATTTGTCGAGCGATTGATGAGATATTTTGCTAACAGACACACCCGGATGAGAGCAACAAGATAAATGTAGTTAATTATAATAATTGGTGTTCTCTTGTTGCAGCTCAGTGAACCATGCAGGATGATTTACTGATGGACAAAAACAAAGCCCAGCTTCATCAGCACCAAGGTCCGATCCAAGTGGACTCTCCTTCCTCCACGCCGACCCCGTCATCCGAGCCCGCCGAGTCCGGGGGCCCGTTCGCCGGGAGCAGCCAGGCGGCTTCGCTCAGCACCACGCACAGAGTCCCCATGGAGTCCCTGGTTCTGCCCGGGTTGAGCTTCCACCAGCAGCCGCCTCAGGAGACCCGAGGTCCAGGGGCCTCCTCTCCCTCCTCGTTCGGGAGCACCTGGTCCACTGGGACCACCAACGCGGTGGAGGACGGTTATCTCCAGGGAGTGTCCTCCATGAACGGAAACATGCTTTTCCAGAACTTCCCCCACCAGGTCAACCCGGCGTTCGGGGGGAGTTTCTCCCAGCAGATCAACTCGAGCAGGCCCCCGGTCAGCCAGGGCCCCTTCCCCCAGAGGAACGCTTATCAGACCGCCATGAACAACAGCAAGGGCTCCTCCTCCTCCTCGGCCTGGAACAACCACCAGAACGCAGCTTGGAGCTCCGCCTCCGGCCCCTGGAGTGGGCTGCAGGCAGGCAGGGACCCACGGCGGGCCGTGGGGGTCGGAATGCCATCGTCCCTGAGCTCCGTCTCCCCGATGAAAAAGCCGTACTCCAGTAATGTCATAGCACCCCCCAAGTTCCACAGACCGGGTCCCCTGGCCCCCAAACCCTGGACGGAGGACGTGTTCCGGAGCGACGGCAGCAACATTCTGCCCTTACAGGCGAGTTTGTAACGAAACACGTTCATCTTTAAGTGATGTGAATGAAAAACAAGTGGAGAAGCTGCTTATTGCTGAAGAGCTTCATGAAAAACAGCTGAAATTAGCTAAAAACATGCTGAAATGTAGCTGAAATGGAAGAACCAGCCTAAGTTTGCAAAAGAAAGCAGAAAGGACACATATTTGCTGAATTAGGTTTAAATTAGCACAAAAATTAGGGAATTTGCTAAAAAGTTGAAATTGGAAAAAAAAAACTGCTGAAATGGCAGAAAGAAGCTTAAACTACCAGAAGGAATTAGAAGGAGATGAAATTATGTAAAGAAAATGGCTGACAAGGCTTAGTTTAGCACAAAACAGCTAAATAGTAGCTGAAAAAGCTAAAACTAGCAAAAATATGATGAAAGGAGCATAACAAGCTGAAATTAATTGAAATAAGTTAATTAGGCTGAAAGTAGCAGAAATTACTATAAAAAAACTAGAATTTATCTGAAAACAGCTGAAATTCACTAAGAAATACAAATAAAAAGTAGCCGAAAAGGTAAAACAATCTTAAATTAGCATAAGAAAGCTGAAAGAACACGTTTTCCCAATTAGACTGATGAAAGAAGCAGAAATGAGCACAAAAAGTGAAAATTATCTGGAAAAAAGGCTGAAATTAGCAAAAAATCAAACCCAAAAAACAGCTGAAAAGTAGCTAAAAAACGGCAGAAAGAAGCTTATATGACTAGAAGGAAGTGGCGAGAGCCCAGTTTTGATGAATTAGCTTGAAAAAAGTTGAAATGAATGCAATAATATGGAATTAGCTGTAAAAGCTAAAATTAGAATAAAACAGCTAAATAGAAGCTGAAATAACAAAAAATGCAGAAACTAGCAGAAATCAGCTGAAAAGAGCAAACAAGCTAAAATTAGCAGAAAGAAGTTAGAAGAAGCACAAAAATGTCGTAGTTGGCAGAAGGAATCTGAAAGGAGCTCAAAACAGCTGAAAGACAGCTGAAAATTTGTTGAAAGTAGCTGAAAACGGTTCAGTTTTGCAGCAGGAAGCTGAAAGAAGCTGAAGCAGAACAAAAAGTGAAAGGAGCAGTAAAAGGTTGAAACAGAGCTAAAGATTTGAAGGATGGAAAATGAGCTCAGTTCATTTTCTACGAGAGAAAAAGTGTCAGAAAAGGCTAAATATTTCAAACAGCTAAAGTTGCACCAATACCAGAAGTCAGAGCAGGATTGTCCTGAAAGAGCCGAACGTTTTGATTTATGATTTGATAAAATAGCTGAAAACTGTGGGAGTAGAATCATGCTGAAAAACGTACGTTAGAAAAATGGATGACGGAGTGGATCCTTCATTCTTCTGGCCTCCTGACTTGATCCATAAATCTGTCGTCTGCAGCCTGGAGATCAGTTTTATTCACATTTAATCCACTCTCTGGTTATTTTTGTCTAGTTTGTTTACATGTTTGTCATTATAAGATATCACACTCAGAATATGTGTTGTGGGTCACTCTCAGCTACTACCACACCCAGAACCCATGGGAGAGGCCACGTGGTGAGAAATCTACGGCTGTGAAACTGTTTATCGGCACAAAAACGTTGCAATTTTAGCTGTTTTACGGCGTCTGCAACCCATTTTTGTCCTGGCCTATCCAGGACTAGCCATTAGCTCATCAGTACGGCCACTCTTAAACTTCATTTAGCAAAAATCACAAGCTGTCAACAACAACAGGTAAGATATTGTTGTTCGTAGTCTTTTCGAAAAACTCCAAATTAAAATATCCATTTTTTTATTGTCATTTCATCGCATGTGGTACACGAGGTGGAAATAAATTATGTACTTTGTCCCAGTTACACCCCAAATAGCAAAAATATAAAGTATTAAAAGAAACAGTAACTACAAGGATGTAAGATATACGCTAAACACTAATAATGTGAAATAATACGGTGTATTAAACCGCAGCCTGGACATGAGTCTGTAGAAACAGAATGAATGCTGAAAACAGCTGAAGAAGCTGAAGCTGAGGGAAAAGAAGCACAACTTTACCTTAAACCGAAGTTAGCAAATACCTGGCTAAAGCTAAAAGTAGCAAAAGTCTTGGTAAAAGCTAAATGTGGCAAAAGACCAGTTAAATGCTAAAAGTTGCAGAATGGTAGCTAAAAGCTAAAACAGCAAAGTCTTTCAAAAAGCAGAACAATAGCTAAAGTAGCAACAGGATAGCTAGAAGTTAAAAGTTGCATATTGCTAGCTAAAATTAGCATAATGACAGCTAAAACATGAGCATATCAAAAGGCTAAAAAGTAGCAGAATAACAAAAAGCTAATAGTAGCAGAACGGTAGCCAAACTAGTGGATTTTGAAGGAGCTAAAGAATCTCCATGTGTTTCTGTGGGGACAACATTAAAGTAAAATATTCAGAAAATAATTAACTAAAGCTGAAAGTCCCAGCAGCCATCTCTGGAATGAGCCGGACGTTTTGATATACGAACAGCTAAAAGAGCATCGTGTCTGCAGACATAGTTACATCATAAATGCTAATAATATTTATTTTATTTTTAAAGCCATATCCATCAGGTACAGGAAATATGTGGGAAGTCCATTTCTGAGCAAAACCCTTTTTGTGGCACCTGCTGAAGGTTTGGGAGGTCCTGAATTCACCGGGGTCACCAGGATCACCTGCTCCTGGTTTGATTCGTCTCATTAAAGAAGCGTCGGGCGCGCCAAATGTTTGATCTGCATGTTTTACTGAAGATTGATCTGCAACTATTACAACGTTTGGTTGTTTTAAAAAAACAACACGTAGGGATTTAAAAGGTTTTACAAGAGAGTGTGGGCGGAGCCTCAACCAACCGCAGAAGTGAGTGTAAAACACGCCGCCTTTAAGAGCTTTACAAACACTGTTAGTAAAATAGGAGCCGATGATGAAAACATGTTGGTGTTGCTGCTGAGAGAAGCCGTTTATTCAGAGTTCAAACAAGCTGAAGGTTATGAGCTGTTCTTTGAAGAACAGGAAAACTGGTGATTAAAAAGGCGCCATTTCCTGTGAGAATACAGCGTGAGCGCCGAATGATTGTTAGCTCGGCTGAAGAAGCTGAAACTGAGTTGTTAAAGCTAAAAACGCAGTACTCCAGCTAAAAGCTAAACGAGCCAAACACTGGCTTAAAGAAGAATGCTAGGTAAAAGCTAAATGTAGCTAGATATACAATGAATATAGCAAAAGTAAAGCTTGATGATAGCTAAAAGAGCAAACATTAGCTTAAAGTAGCAAGAGGCTCACTAATAACAGCAAAAGCTTAGCTAAAGGCTACAAGTAGCAAATGGTTAACAGACAGGTCAAAAACACAGAAAACTGGCCCACAGCTAAAAGGAGCAAAACACTAGCTAAAAGCTAAAAATATCAATACTAGCTTAAAAATAAAAAAGCAAAAGACCAGATAATTGTTAAAAGTAACAAAATGTTAGCTAGAAGCTTAAAAAACGAAAACTCTGGCCAAAGCAAAAAAACAACAAAACATTTGATAAGAACTAAAAAAAAAAGCAAAACGCTAGCTCGAATCTACAAGTAGCACAAAGCTAGTTAGAAATAAAAGTAGCCAAAGGCTAGCTAAAAGTAGCCAAAGGTTAGCTAAAAGTAGCAAAATGCGTAGCTTAAAATGGTATAAGCCAGCTTGATAAAGCAGATTTAAATGTTTTGAGCTGAAGAGATTTAAATTTATTTCTATGATGAAAAATGTTTGAAAAAAATGTAAAATTTTATAAAAACTATAAAAGTGACAAACTCAAAGGCTGCAGCACGTTCTCCTGACCAAGCTGAAGGTTCTAAGAACGGCTACAATGGCCCAAAGTCTTCAGACATGATTTGATTACACGAAGCAGAAACCTGGAAACGGTGATTGTGACGCAGATTTCTCACAGCTGGAACGTTTCTGAAGTGAAAACCGTTTCGGACTGGGCTCCTGTGTGAATGGGATCACTGGGCCGTATCTGGTTCCAACGTGAGCCAGAACCTGTTTTTAAAGCTCCGTCTGCCTCGGCTGACATGAGTGCAGAGTTGACAAACATGAGGCCGGTCACGTGCACGCTCTATGTTTAGCTATGCTGCCTGACAAACAGCTAAAGGCAGCCGGCAGGATCCTCCCTCCCCAGGACGTGCAGGAACACAAAGCGCTCGTTCTCTCCGTTTGGGACGGAGGAGGAACGCTGAAACGGAGCGACTCTGGAGGAGATGCTGGTTTGCTCAGTTTGGCCTTTATTGCTCAGTTCCTCGATCTGCGCCTCCTCGGCCAGATCACAGGCCAAGTTATCACCGGGAGACGAGGTCAGAGGTCACGTGTCGCGCTGTGGCGCAGCGTGTGCGCTGAAGGCAAACAGCGACCAACAGTCGTTTACACTCACGCCCCTCGTAAAACGTTCCACAAGATTTATTAAATGAATTCAGTCTTTCTGTTATTTTCTGACTAAAGTTGAGGATTTATTTAAACTTCTTTTATTTTACATTTTCATCCATCTTCTATGTCTTCATGTGATCCGTTGAAAAAAAACCCCCACCTGTCAGTTATCTCGTCCAGAAAAGCTTCTCGTTATGAAGTGAAGTTGTTTTGAACCAACAGTGCAGTTTGAAGGAGTTTACTCCGGTAGTTTTCCAGATGTGTTATGATGCAGTTCTCAAATGTGGGTACGCACTTAATGTAAACAAACGTTTATCTGCAGACTGTAAACAAATCTGAGCATAAATACGTGCCAACGCATCAAAACTTCTTCATGCCTGTTTTCAGTCACTTCCTGTAAACAAATGCACTTCGGCTGTTTCTGTTGGTAAACAAATGCACTTCAGCTGTTTCTGTTGGTA